AGAACAGAAGAAAAATGTTGTGAAACGGAGCCAAATGCAAAGAAAAGTGGAGAAAAACAATATTTCTTCGATGCATGAGACAGCTTTGTGTGTGTGTGTGTGCGTGCGTGCGTGCGTGCGTGTGTGTGTGTGTGTGTGTGAGAGTGAACTGGGGGCCCGTCCTCCCTTTTCCCCGTCTGAAACAGCCCTTTCTTTGTCTCCTCTCTTCACTTCCTGTTTCATCTGGAACCAATTTCCCCCTCGTGCCTCGTCCCCAGGGGGAACATTCTCCGTGGTGCACAGCATTTTTAAGAGGAACGGACAGGCTTCTACTGAGCAGAGGATGACCCTGCTGATGATCTGCACTGCACAGATTAAAAAAATGAAGTTTAATGAGTCTGCGGAGCCAAATCTCAAGTCCACTCTGTGTTGCATCTTCTTTGTTTACAACAACGACTCGGTCGTGGGGTCTGACACGCTGGAGTTCAGCAGACTAGCCGTGAGAGTGGGGAGGAAAAGCAGACAGCTCGTGAAATGTCAACCAAAATGGTCCCTGACCATCAAATTGTAGACTGTTGGCTCTACTGAGAACGGTTTGGGGAAAATAAAGAAAGAGAAGGAGGAGTTTGCATCACACGAGGAGGGAGGGAAGGGGAGAGTTCAGCAACATCTGGAATCAATCTGTCTTCAGAAGAGGAGGAGGGGAGCTGGACGGAGAGACGGGGAAGCACGGATGAAAAAGAACGAATGAGATGAAAATAAAACAGACACAGGAGGAGGAATGTGGGCAGGGAGATGGCCAAAGCAAAGAAAGGGGAGTAAAAGAAGAAAGAAAACCTTTGCAAATGGAAGACAATGAGTCATAAGTGAAGAATGCCATGTGATTTCTATTTTCTGAAGGGGGGGGGGGGGGGGGGGGGGGGGGTCCTGAACTCACAAAAACAGACGCTTATTCCTCCCGTATCTTTGGTTCGCTCTGGAGTGTATCCGACGAGTGTTTGCATGCTTTCAAAAAGCACCATCCAGAGTGACGCCAGACACACACACCAGTAACCGGCCGCGCCACTTCACTGTTTAAGGATCCATTAAGGTCTTGCATTTAGTCCCGGGGGGGGGGGGGGGGGGTGCTCTGAAGAAGATCAGACGAAGAAAAGAGCAGTTTATAAACACACTCTCCCTCCTTCTGTCTCCATCTATAACTCAGAGTCTAAAGGGCGTTTCCCTCCTTCTCCCTCTCCAGAACGCTATTTTAGGAGAAGGAAAAGAAGTTGGGAGGCGCTGGAGCAAACGAGTAGGAGCGAGAGAGGAGGAGGGAAGAAGGGGAGCAGCGGTGGTGAAGGAAGGCAGAAACGACATGAGGTCAACAGATGGTGGGGGGGAGGGTGGGTGAGGGGGGTAATTAGGCAGGCTGCTGCAGGCCTCTGCTGGTATCTAAAGGAACCGCCTGAGGGGGGGCTGACACCGCAGAAGCAAAACCAAACTTTAGGAGAAAAGTCCCACCTGTTACCGTCAACCATCACACCAAACTACAGCAGAGCTGTTGGGGCGAAAACTTCAAAAATCCACCAGACGAACGTACCAACGCCCCACTGGACCGAAGTATTTTAGATCCAGCCAATCATGGCACTGCGTTTGTAGAGAGACGTTTGGAGCGATTAGCACCAAAGCTGTGACGGAGCAAAACTACAAAAATGGTGTCAGCTAAGGAACGGCGCTCATTTCAAACGGCTCTGGCATCAACTCTGAACATCTTAGACTCGAGCTGTTCTTTGAGACTCTAGCAGAACGAGTCATGAAGTCATTTATTTAGAAAAGGATGTGTTTGCTTCTGCTTCAGCAGCGTGGGGCAGACCGCCCTGTTGACTGACATCCGTAGTGGTGGGGACATCGGCTGGTTGTTGCTCTAATTGGTCCTAGTGGAGGCAGTTTCAAAGACAACCGTAGATCCTGCCCCGCGACTGGGTTGACTCAACGACTAGAAGCCATTTTTTATATATAATATATTATATATATATATATATATATATATATATATATATATATATTATATTATATACTATATTATATATATATGTATATATATATATAATATAGTATATATTATATATATATAATATATTATATATATATATAATATATATTTTATGTGTTTTTTTATTCGTTTATTTCATTCAAAATTAAAAACAACAAAAAATCAAATTTGAACGAAAAGGAGCAGAAAGAAAAACATAATTTCTGCCCCCTTTTCCAGAAGAAATTATTTATATACAATTTCCATTTTTTCAGACACACACACACACACACACACACACACACACACACACACACACACACACACACACACACACACACACACACACACACACACACACACACACACACACACAGATCAATTTAAAACCTTTTTCTGTTCTTAATTCCAGAGCGATCATGATAATTGGTTTAATTAACATTTTCATTATTATTTAGTACACATTTTTGAATATATTAAATGACAGAGTTTTTTTATTTCCCTTTTAAGGTTATTCCCTAATTTAACACATTTACAGATATATCCCACTCCTTAACTTCAGTTCTAAATCTAGGTTTTGTAAACACGTCAGTTTCTTTCAGCATGTCATTACTAGTTCTCCTTTCAGATATCCGCTGAATGTTTGTTGGCAGAGTACCTAAACTGGCTTTACAGGTGCTGGCCAGTAAATTAGAATATCATCAAAAGGTTGAAGATATTTCAGTAATTCCATTCAAAACGTGAAACTTGTACATTATATTCATGCAATGCACACAGACCAATGTATTTCCAATGTTCATTACATTTAAATTTGATATTCATAAGTGACAACTAATGAAAACTCCAAATTTGGTATCTCAAAAAATTAGAATATTCTGAAAAGGCTGAATATAGAAGACACCTGCTGCCACTCTAATCAGCTGATTTACTCAAAACACCTGCAAAGGCCTTTAAAAGGTCCCTCAGTCTTGTTTTGAAGGCACCACAATCATGGGGAAGACTTCTGACTTAACAGCTGTCCAAAAGACAATCATTGACACCTTGCACAAGGAGGGCAAGACACAAAAGGTGATTGCTAAAGAAGCTGGCTGTTCGCAGAGCTCTGTGTCCAAGCACATTAACAGACAGGCGAAGGGACGGAAAAAATGTGGTAGAAAAAAGTGTACAAGCTCTAGGGATAACCGCACCCTGCAGAGAATTGTGACGACAAACCCATTCAAAAATGTGGGGGAGATCCACAAAGAGTGGACTGCAGCTGGAGTCAGCGCTTCAAGAACCACCACGAGGAGACTCATGAAAGACATGGGATTCAGGTGTCGCATTCCGTGTGTCAAGCCACTCTTGAACAAGAAACAGCGCAAGAAGCGTCTCGCCTGGGCCAAGGACAAAAAGGACTGGACTGATGCTGAGTGGTCCAAAGTTATGTTTTCTGATGAAAGCAAGTTCTGCATTTCCTTTGGAAA